AGAAACTAACGCCCTAAGGCCTTATAAACGTTCAAGACTTCGCACTCAGTTTTCACTTTGCGCAAAATTTTCGCGATTCGCGCTTGGCTTTTGAAAAAACATACCCGACTCTAATCTTTAACTTAACACTTGTTCCCTGCATTCACTGTTTTTGTGGTCGACTCTAAAAGTTTTATATGCTTCTGATTGGCCTGTATTTCCGACCCTTCCCATCCCCCTCTCCCAGAACCCTTCTCTATTGCGCATGACAACGCGGAGTCAAAAGCGTGAGCTCTGGGTTCGAGATTAATTAGCTTGAAAATAGGTCATTTCCACGATGGCCTCATTTTACTACTTCTACCAGAATCCTTCAGGGTTTTGCTTTTTTGTGCAAATTAGGGGTTTTTGTTATTTAAACCTCACTAGGTTAACCAAATTTAAATACAGTCGACTCCCGATAACACGAACCCTCGCTAACTCGAACCAAAATCGATTTCCCTTGGATTTCTTTCATACATATACCGTAATTTTACCCTCGGTAACTCGAGCCCTCGATAACTCGAACCTTCCGCTCACTCGAAGTTATTTTTGCTTCCCTTCAGATGACCTCTACATAATTTTACCCTCGATCTTAAGCGCCTGACAAGTCGATCAAAAAAGAAAAAAAGTGTGTACTGCAGTCCGAAATATTGAATTTGATATTTTAAAACAACTGTGTATTCTTTGTCTTCACTTTTTGTTCAGTTCAATTCGACTACAGTGTATAGCAGCCCTGTATATTTTAATTGAAGTTCTGTTTTCTAAATTCCAAGTGTGCATGATACTAGTATTCTTTCCCCATCCCATTTTCTTATTTTCTCATTTTCGGTTACTTGATTCGAACTCTCGATAACTCCACCCTTTTTAGATTTTCCTTGAAGTTGTGAGTTATCGGGAGTTGACTGTGTCGACTGTCTTAGTAGTAATAACACGTCATCGTACAAAATGCGTTTTCCGTCGGCTCGAATAAATGACCTGTTTAAACAGGAAGAGGAAGTTATAACATAACCTGAATGTTTTGTCACGTGTTTCCCCGGCAGGTGCAACACGTGCAAAACAACTGAGAATCAGCATCAACTGGTGCAGTGTGACACGTGCCACTACCACTATCACCTGGCATGCGTCGATCCACCTCTAACGCGCATGCCTAAGCGATCGGCCAAGTGTCTCTGGTGAGTAAAGAATTAACTCCCATCTTTAATTTTTTTTGACAGATGAAGATCGGGGAGAGTAGAAATAGCAATCCATGGGTTGTCGCTAAAGCGAAATAAGGAAAAAAGGGGAGAGGGAGAGGAGAAAAAAAAAGGATCATCTCTCTTTCTCTTAGCCTCGCCCCAGTTCTCCTCTTTTTTTGCAATTCAACATCTTCGTGACGTTGGCTGGTAGCGTAGAGGCGTTCGTTAACGCGCGGATAAGTAACAGATTTGCTAGAGTCGCCACGAGAGAAAATACAAAGTTAAAAACATAGAAAGCAAAGAAGAAACTTCTTCTGAGACGAACAATGAGAGAATTGGTAACAAAAAATCCAGTATTCGAGTGCAGTACTGTTCAGCCATGGTTTAACTTGCTAGATTATATACATCAAGTTTTCCTTTTCGATGAAATATCTATATTGATTACGCCTCCGTTTATTAGCTACCTTTCATATAAGCCATCTGCTGTGACACGTCATATAGCTGGTTCTTTAACTAAAGCCTTAGACTCAATGTTTATAGGTAGAGTGCAAACAGAAGTTCAGTCTGATCGTTGATATAAATTTTAAGGGTTCAAATGCTGAGTTAAATTGTGGAAAACAAGGCCAACTCAGAAAACAACGGGAACGCCGGTTTTGCGACAGTAGTATTAAAAACAAAACAATTAAACACCGCAATATATAGTCCGTTTTCATCAAGTTCCAATTATCTCTCTGTCCTTAATTGCCGGTGACATGTGGGCTGTTCCCCGCTAAGTAGAATTTCTTCTTTAATTGACAACGGTCGGTGTAAGCTTGGAAGGGGAGTTATTTTCTCTTTAATAATTCATCCGACCAGCAAATGATGTAGATATAAAATAATCATGAATTTTATTTAATTCTATACTTTTATTTAACTTATAAGGAATCTGACGTAAGTTTTCAGTCAGCATCTTTGTGGTAGTTCAAGGTGTCGTCGACGAGGCGTTTGAGTCTTCAAAGTCGAAAAGGTTTCTGAAAAAGGACCGAAACCTAATATTTCGGGCTCTTCTCGTCCTCCTTCTTCTTTCTTTGAGATAAGCCTGAACTGGGGACTCACGACAATGTAATCTGAAACTCTTCTCAAATGCCAACGAGTAGTTGTGTTCTTCTCTAAAGAGCCTTAACGTGGCAACTATCGCTTTAGGTACGCCGTAGGATGCGTCCTATCTAGTACCCAGATTTTCCACGGTCAAGCGAAAGAGAGACCTTGTATTTTAAATCGAGACATACGTACAGTTGTAAGCAACTTTTTTGTCTGGCGATTGCTCAGATGGAAATCGTTTCCATCTTGAAAATTCGCCATTTTGTCACATTTTTACTTTTTCTTTGGTAGTAATCGGTACATATACAGTTTTTTAAGTAAGTGCCCTAAAGGTTTCTTGTTGTTTCACAATTCAGAGAGAGCAATTGTATTTTAAAATGCGTGATGACCGTTCGTCACGTTCTTATGTCTCCGAAATCAGATAGTGGAATTTGAAATGCTTTTTCAGGGCGAAGGTCTAAGACCATTTTGTGCAAGAACTAATCTTCTTGGTCACATATTAACCCTTTAATTCTTAACTCTTGAATTGTCATTTGTTGGCCCTACAGGTTTGCTATAATAGTAGTTGGGAGAAGTTGTTAAAGAATCTGTGTGATCATGTCCCTAATTCTCATAACAACCCTGTTTTATAAAGGAGAGATATTACTTGGAGAAATTTGATGCTGATCATTCTTAGGGCTTAAAGGGTTAAGCACAGTCAGGCCATCACATGACAAAATCCTCATATTAAAAACAGCAAGGGATGAAAGGCCTCACATCTTCACCGGCGTGAAACCTGTGAAAACCTTTTACATATTGCTTCAATGAGGACAATAACAACAACAATCTTTATTTGGTCTCACTCTTGCTTAACACTAAATTACGACAATGAAAATATTAGAAGTAAAATTCGAGTACTGGGTGCCTGGAATAACTATAGGGGCTAGCGGAGCCAGAGAGGAGAACTCTTTCAGGGATTTTACACTTTAAAAGTTCAACGATAGGTGGGCTGTTATGCCTGTTAAGTTGATACAGCTTCTATAAAGCCGACCAAAGAAAGGCTCAGTGCATTCTATACGCAACAGAGGAAAAATGCAACAGACAATTTAATCAGTTTGTGTGCTTTCTGTCCGTTTTATAAGATATGTCTGCTTAAAATCGCGTTAAGTTAATAATGATCATTTTCCATAGCTTCTGTTATCTTAAGTATCCGCTTTTAACATCTCCGTATAGTTGAGGTTTACTCGACCTCAGATCACAATGTTTAGCTGTTCACAGCATGCATTCTTTAAATATGTCCAGATTAGACTCTGGTTGTTTTGGATATTTATCGCGCCTCTGGTGGAGGCATTATTTGAATACGTTATAATGCTGTGTCCTTTGAATGTAGATTTATTACTCAATCGCTTTGTGAATGTGACTGTAGTCTATTAGAGGATAGTATTTAAAAGCTCGATATTTAAAATACCATAGCATTTACTTTGTTTACTAATCAATTGACTGGCTTCTTTGTGTTACTACATAATATATGCAGTTAAATATTAGGTTTACAAGCAAGACAGCGGTTTGGAATCTTACGATTCTCATCAGTTGCTATGTGCTCGTGGTTGGATGGTTGAGGTGAACTCTGAACCATTCCATATTGTTAGCCGTGATTTGATAGGCGTTTATATGTGCACCCTGGATCGTTTGGAGGATCGAAAATGGTGAGGGTTGATTGGCTCCTTGCCAGCCAATCAGGTTGTTGTAGTTTGGATCCATCTTTTCTGAAAGCTTTAGACACTAGGTTGCGTTTTTATTAAGGTCAAAATTTGGAAAAAATAAGAGTCTTGCCTTGCTTTTTTGTAAAGTATACAAACATATCGTTTAAATGTATATCTTTTATGATTGTTCCTCGAAGTCTTTATTTGCATTTACATCATGTCTTCTTATTTAGCTCTAAAACTCGGATATATATAACAAAACAAACACACATATACACAATGTGGAGCTGAAAACTCTCTATTTCAGTTTTGTCTGACTATTACAGAACCGTTTTCTCCTTTCTATCTCGAGGACATGAAAAACTATTTAAGTCTCAGCTTTTCATGCGCCGTTAGTCAGTTAATTATGCGAGTTCGCAAACCCAAAGTTGAATACAAATTAGCTCTACGGGAAAAACCCAAGGGAGCACCTGGACGTATTATTATATAAACAATTTTAAATCACTTAACAAGGATCAATTAAAACACGCGACTAATAATTGCTAGCAATAAACCACAAGAGACATACCGTTTTAAAAACTTTATTAAAAACAATGACAAAAAGAGTCAAATACACAGCGATTTGTAACGAATGGAAATTAATTAATCTTCATCTTCGTTCTCCTCTTTAGAAGGGGAATAGAAATTGGTTTCCATGTAACCCAATGTTTAAAATGTTGAATTGAAATTCACATATGTTTTCTTGGTCTTTTTGAGTTGCAAGTCTATTGGTTTTCTTGCTAAATTCCATTTGGTAGAAGTTCTAGAAGGAATTAAGATCAAAGGTGTCTTTTTGTTTCTCTTTCCAGCCAGACCAATTCCGATGTCAAAGAGGCCAAACTTTCTCTTTCACACGTTTCCTTAGTCTTTGTAGCATAGCAAGTCCGTTGCATTTTCTCACTTAATTCCGTTTCAAAAAAACTTTGCTTTACATTTTTAGTTAAAACTATCCTGAAGTTAAGGTCTTTTCTTATGACATGTTCTCGTTCATGTGAAATAATTTCTTCAATGTGCTTTTTACACTTTGGCGAATCTCTCGGTACCGCCAGCAATAAACAATAGGATTTAATGATGAATTCAGGCAAATTAAGAAAACCGACCCAAGTCTAGCTACGAGAAACGAAATGTCAGAAGTATTTGTCTCGTACAGTATTGTACAAGGAAAAGAAGGAAAATAACAAGCTAACAAAACTACTGACACAAATAAACTATTAGAGGCAGACTTCCTTTGTCGGTGTGCCTCCCTTGTTTGGGCATTTTGAAGCTGATTTTGACTGTGTATCTGATTTTGATGATACCTGACGACTTTGTAAATTCGAACATATGCCATGGTCGTTAGAACATATCCTATAAGGCAAATAACTACAGCTACCATCTCAATTTCTTTTGGAAAGAAAATAAATTGGATGGCGAGGACGCAACTTATTATCCACACAGATACCAACACTGTTGTAACACGTCTGGCCGTGACAAGCTCCTGATATCGCAAATGGAGCGAAACAGCGA